TCACGGAGAGAGTGGTCCCTCCGGAAAGCAGATAAGGATGGGGAGGGAAAGATGTCTTTGGTGGTGGGGTCGGATTGCAGATGGCGGAAGTGTCGGAGGATGATGCGTTGGATCCGGAGGTTGGTGGGCTGGTACGTGAGGACGAGGGGGATTCTTTTTTGGTTCTTATTGCGTGGACGGGGTGTGAGGGATGAGTTGCGGGAAATGTGGGAGACATGGTTGAGGGCGTTCTCGACCACCGAGGGGGGGAAGTTACGGTCCTTGAAAAACGAGGACAACTGAGATGTACGGGAGTGGAATGCCTCATGCTGGGAGCAGATGCGGCGGAGGCGAAGGAATTGGGAATAGGGGATAGCATTTTTGCAGGAAGGTGGGTGGGAGGAGGAGTATTCTAGGTAGCTGTGGGAGTCGGTGGGCTTGAAATGAATATCGGTTTCTAGGTGGTTGCCCGATATGGAGACAGAGAGGTCCAGGAAGGGGAGAGAGGTGTTAGAGATGGTCCAGGTAAACTTAAGGTTGGGGTGGAAGGTGTTAGTGAAGTGTATGAACTGTTCGAGCTCCTCGTGGGAGCACGAGGCGGCGCCGATACAGTCATCAATGTAACGGAGGAAGAGGTGGGGTTTAGGGCTGGTGTAGGTATGGAAGAGGGATTGTTCCACGTAACCTACAAAGAGGCAGGCGTAGCTTGGGCCCATGCGGGTACCCATGGCCACCCCCTTTGTCTGTAGGAAGTGGGAGGAATTGAAAGAGAAGTTGTTGAGGGTGAGGACGAGTTCGGCTAAGCCGATGAGGGTGTCAGTGGAGGGGGACTGGTCGGGCCTGCGGGACAGGAAGAAGCGGAGGGCCTTAAGGCCATCTGTATGGGGAATGCAGGTGTAGAGGGACTGGACGTCCATGGTAAAGATGAGGTGTTGGGGACTGGGGAATTGGAAGTTCTGGAGGAGGCGAAGGGCGTGGGTGGTGTCACGGACATAGGTAGGGAGTTCCTGGACCAAGGGGGAGAAAATGGAGTCTAGATAGTTGGATATCAGTTCGGTGGGGCAGGAGCAGGCGGAGACAATGGGTTGACCAGGGCAGTCAGGTTTGTGGATTTTGGGAAGGAGATAGAAGCGGGCAGTGCGAGGTTGGGGAACGATGAGGTTGGAGGCCGTGGGTGGGAGGTCACCTGAGGTGATGAGGTTGTGGATGCTTTGGGAGATGATGGTTTGGTGCTCGGGGATGGGGTCATGATCAAGGGGGCAGTAGGAGGAGGTGTCGGAGAGTTGGCGTCTGGCCTCGGCGATGTAGAGGTCAGTGCGCCATACTACAACTGCACCTCCCTTGTCCGCGGGTTTTACGGTGAGGTTGGGATTGGAGCGGAGGGAGCGGAGGGCTGCACGTTCTGCGGGGGAGAGGTTGGAGTGGGTGAGAGGGGTGGAGAGGTTGAGGCGATTGATGTCTCGACGGCAGTTGGAGATGAAGAGGTCGAGGGAGGGTAGGAGGCCTTGGGGTGGTGTCCAGGAGGAGGGGGTGTGTTGGAAGCGGGAGAAGGGGTCAGTAGAGGGAGGGTTAGGCTCACGGTCAGAGAAGTAAGCGTGGAGGCGGAGGCGGCGGAAAAACTGCTCTATGTCCAAGCGTGAGCGGTATTCGTTGATGTGTGGGTGGAGGGGGACAAAGGTGAGCCCTTTACTGAGGACTGACCGTTCGTCCTCAGTAAGGGGTAGGTCTGGGGGGATGGTGAAGACCCTACAGGGCTGGGTACTGCTGTCTCCTCTGGAGCTGCTGGCTGTGGAGGCGGTGGGCGGAGCTACGTCGGTGTCGGCGGTGGGCGGAGTTGTGCCGGTGTCGGCGGTGGGCGGAGTTGCGTCCGCGTCGCTGATGGGCGGAGCGGCGTCGGAGGTAGGAGGAGCGGGGTCGGCGGCGGCAGTAGCGGTGAGGGTGGTCGCCACTTCAGTGTCGGTGGCAACGGCAGCGATGGTGTTCGCTGTCCCGGAAGTGGGGAACCCGGCGGTGGCGGATGTGATGTCATCTGAGGGTTCTCCGATAGTGGCCTCATGGCAGGAACTGATAAGAGGGCTTTTTCGTGAAAGTAATTATGCTGAGTCAGTCAGATTTGCTAAGAGTGAAAACTGCAGGAAATTGAGACAACAAGGTGCAGGGCTGGATGAACACAGCAGGCCAAGCAGCATCATAGGAGCAGAGAGGCTGACGCTTCAGGCCTAGACCCTTCATCAGAAAAGGGGGAGGGGAAGGGGGTTCTGAAATAAATAGGGAGAGAGTGGGAAGCGGATAGAAGAGGGATGGAGGAGAGGATAGGTGGAGAAGAAACAAACAGGTCGAAGAGGTGGGGATGGAGCCAGTAAAGGTGAGTGTAGGTAGGGAGTTAGGAAGGGGATAGGTCTGTTGTCTCTACTAGATAAGACATACATTTGGACAAAATATTTGAGTTTGCTCGCATGCGTGGATAAGTCCAAAGAACACATGCATTTGGACAAAATGTTCAGGATTGGTCACGTGCGAACATAATTCCAAATAAGGCACATATTTGCAACAGAGACTTGCATATAAAAAGTCTGATGAAATCCCTTTGTTCAACAACACTCCAAAGACTAACGTTGTGTAAGAAGCTACCCTATGTCAGGAGATGTGGTGAAGACATCGAGCAGAGTCTTCAGCCTGGTCAGCTGTGAACTCTCCTGGGTAATAACGTTTGGGTTTAGTTACAGAAATCAGGGTAGTGAAGGACAGTGATTGAGATATCTGTAGTAGTTAAAAGGGTGTGTTATTCGTTTAAATACTTAATAAATGAATTGTGGTTTTATAGAGCTCTGTGTTTCCATGGTATCTCTGCCGTATTGTATTGTTGTCTTTCAGAGATGAACAACAGCCTGGATTAAACATGGATAAAAGAGCTGAATTCCAAAGGTGAGGGGAGAGTGACATCTCTTCACATCAAGGCTGTATTTGACTAAGTGTGGCATCAAGGGGCCCTAGCAAAACAGGAATCAGTGGGTATCACGGGGCAAATTCTCTGGTGGTTGGAGTCATACCTGACACATAGGAACATGGTTGTGGTTGTGGGAGGTCAGTCATCTCAGCTCCAGGGCATAGAATCCTGATAGTGTGGAAGTAGGCCATTCAGCCCATCGAGTCCATACCAACCCTCCAAACAGCATCCCACCGTATCCCTGCAACCCACCTAGCCTGCACGTTTGGACTGTGGGAGGAAACTGGAGCACCCGGAGGAAACACACGCAGACACAGGGAGAATGTTCAAACTCCACAGAGACAGTCACACAAGAATTGAACCTGGATCCTTGGCACTCTGAGACGGCAATGCTAACCACTGAGGCACTGTGCTGCCCGGCCAACATCTCTGCAAGAGTTTCTCAGGGTAGTGTTCTAGGTCCAACCATCTTCAGCTGCTTCATGAATGACCTTCCCTCCATCATAAGGTCTGAAGTGGGGATGTTCGCTGATGATTGCACAATGTTCAGCACCATTCGTGACTCCTCAGAAACTGAAGCAGTCCATGTTCAAATGCAACAAGATCTGGACAATATCCAGGCTTGGGCTGAACATGTGGCAAGTAACATTCACGCCACACAAATGCCGGGCTATGACCATCACCAATAAGAGACCATCTAACCACTGTCCCTTAACACTGAATGGTGTTACCATCACTGAATCCCCAACTATCAACATCCTGGGGGTTACCATTGACCAGATACTCAACTGGACTTACCACATAAATGTAGTGGCTACAAGAGCAGGTCAGATGCAAGGAATCCTGCAGTGAGTAACTCACCTCCTGACTCCCCAAAACCTGTCCACCTGTTTGGGTTAGGGTTGGGTTTAAGGTTGCTATTAGGGTTAAGGTTAGGGGTAGAATCAGGGCTAAGGTTAGGGTTACGGTGAAAGTTAGGGTCATTGTCAGGGTTAGGGTTAGGTTTAAGGTTAGGGTGAAGGTTAGTGTTAGGGTCAAGGTTAGGGTTAGGGTTATGGCTAGGTTTAGGTTAATGTTTAGGACTTGGAATGCCGTTCAGGTTATGGTTAGGATTAGGTTTACAGTTAGGATTAGGATTAGGGTTAAGGTTAGGGTTAAGGCTAGACTTAGTGTTAAGGTTAGGGTTAGGGTTAGGGTTAGGTTTAGACTGACATTTAGGGTTAAGGTTAGGGTTAGGATTAGGGTTGAGGTTAGGGTACGGTTAGGATTTGTTTCAAGGGTTGGGTTAGGGTGAGGCTTATGTCTCGGGTTAGGGTCAGGGTTTGGTTTAGGGTGAGGGTGATGGTTAGTGTTAGTGTTAATGCTTGGGTTAGGGTTAGGGTTCGGGTTAGGGTTAGGGCTAGGCTTAGGGCTAGGTTTAGGGTTAAGGTTAGCTTTAGGATTAGTGTTAGTGTTAGGGTTAACATGAGGGATGGGATTAAGTTTATTGTCAAGGCTAGGGTTAGGGCTAAGGTTACAGTTAAGGTTATGGCTAGGGTTAAGGTCAGGGTTTGGGTGAGTGTTAGGGTTAATATTATGGAAAGGATTAGGGTTTGGCTAGTGTTAGCGCCAGGGTTAGTGTTAGTGTTAGAGTTCGAGTTAAAGTTAAGGTTAAGGTTAGAGTAACATTTTGTGCTTGGATTAGACATATGTTTAAGGTTAGGATTATGTTCAGGTAATGGTTAGAGTTAGGGTTAAGGTTTGTTTTAGGGTTAGGGCCATGGTCAGGGTTAGTGTTTCGGTTAGGACTCAAGCCAGGGTTAGGTGTAGGGTTAGAGTTTGGATTAGGCATAGGATTTTGGCTAGGGTTAGGGTTTTCTTTAGGGTGAACGCCAGGGAAAGGTCTTGGGTTATGTTTTAGGTTAGGGTTAGAGTTACAATTAGGTTCATAGAATCCCTACAGTGTGGAACCAGGCCCTTCGGCCCAACACATCCACACCAACTCTCAGAGCATCTCACCCAGACCCATCCCACCTAATCTACACATCCTTGGACACTCTGGGGCAATTTAGCATGGCCAATCCACCCTAGCCTGCACATCTTTGGACTGTGGGAGGAAACCAGAGCACCCGGAGGAAACCCACGCAGACACGGGGAGAATGCGCAAACTCCACACAAACAGTCGCTTGAGGATGGAATCGAACCCGGGTCCCTGGTGCTGTGAAGCAGCAGTGCAAACCACTGAGCCACGGTTTAGGGTTAGGTTTAGGGCAAGGTTTAAGGTTAGGGCGAGGGTTAGAATTAAGCTTATGTTTAGGGTTAGATTTAGTGTTAGGGTTAAGGTTAGGGTTAGGTTTAAAGTTATTGTTAGCGTCAAGGTTAGGGCAACGTTAGGGCTAGGGTAAGGGTTAGGTTTAGGATAAGGGTTAGAGTTAGGATTCGGTCTAGGTTTTGGGTTAGAATTAAGATTAGGGTCATGGTCAGGGTTAGGTTTAGGGTTAAGTTTAGGGTGAAGTTTAGCTGAAGGGTTAGGGTAAAGGTTAATGTTAGAATTAACGTTAGTGTTAGGGTCAAGGTTAGGGTTCGGGTTAGGAATAGTATTAGGGTCAGGATTAGAGATGGGGTAGTGTTAGGGTTAGGGTCAAGGTTAGAGTTAGTGCTAGCGTTAAGTTTAACTTTAGGGCTATGATTAGGTTCAGGGTTAGGGTAAAGGTTAGGGTCAGTTTATGGTCAAGTTTAGGGTTAATATTAGGGTTAGGGTTAGGGCTAGGGTTGGGGTTAAGTTTACGGTTAGGGGTACGGTCAGGTTTAGGGCTCGGATTAGGGTTAGGACTAGGTTTAGGGTTAGTGTTAGGGTAAGTCTTATGGTTAGGGTTAGGGTTCAGGTTAGAGTTAGTGTTAGCGTTATAGATAAGGTTAGGATTCGGGTTAGGGTTAGATTTTGTTTTCGGGTTCCTGTGCACTCGGGATTGTTCAGCAAGTGCTTTGCAATTGTGGAATCACATTTAACAGGAGACGTTCTGCTTTGCATTTTGCAAGCACAAGCTGGTTGAGTACAGTCTGTACCCTGCACTGAAGGCACATGCTCTGCTGCAGACAAAAAGAGAAACAGGCTGTGCATTAATGTAGCACCTTTCATATCCACACAGACGTCCTAAAGTACCCACCAGCCAGTGAGAATGCAAAGTAGTCACATTGTCGAGAGGAAAAGGAGATGGAATAGCAGCAGCAGGAAGAGCAAGTGAGAGAAAGAAAGAGAGAAAGAAAGCATTAGCTTTATCGTCACATGTACTCACATGATTGCTGTACGGTGAAAAGTTTACAAATCGCCATTATGATACCATCTTAGGTACAAAAGGTACAGATTCTTCAGTACAAATTCTTAGGGGAACAAATACAAAACTAAAGAAATAAAAAGTCCAGCAATAAATTAGAATAATAGAGAAATAAGAGTTCAGAATAACCAGCCTTCCAACCCAGTCTGTGTCAGGCTTTACCTCGAGGTGGGGTTTTGAGTCCACGCTGAGGCCAAGAGTTCCAGTCCACGCTGAGGCTGGGAGTTCGAGACCACTCTGAAGCTGGGAGTCTGAGTCCATGCTGAGGGACGCATGAGGGTAAGAATATACCAAAGGAAGAGGTGACTAACTTGGATGTCCCCTTCCAGAAGCTTTAGCTTTTGGGGCTGCACTCTCTCCTCTGAGGTAGGAGATCAGGGAGTCAAGTCTAGGCTGATACTCTGGCGCAGTATTGAGGGTGTGCTGTACTGTCAGAGGTGTCTTCTTAGACATAAGCTTTAAATTGCAGCCCTAACTTCTAGCTCAGTTCTTAGAAGATTCCATTAAACTACATAAAGAGATACTAGGACACTGCCTGGTGTTGTCTGGCCAATCTTCAACCCCCAACCAATATCACAAATACTGATTATCTGGTCACAATCTCATTATAGTTTGTAGGAGCTGACTGTGCTCCAATTGGCTATATTTACTACATTGCAACATTACAACATTTCAAAAGTAATATATTGGCTGAAAAGGATTTTGGGACATCTTGAGGTTGTGATGGA